GACCTCGTGGTGTGAACATGGAGACTTCTGTAATTTATTTCCAACATATTTCTTTATTTCTGCATTCCTATCTCTTCTTCTTTATGTCTATGGGCTTCCTGTGTTTGAAAATTGGGCTACCTGTGCTTACAAAATGGCGTCCAACTTGTCATAAAACGATGGGAAAATGTGCAATGTTTTGCTGGATCCATGAACAGATTCTTTCAAGGTTAGCTATGATTTGGACTAAGGTTATGTTTTTGACATGTCATTGTTTCCTGGTTAATCATTCTATGTAGATAAATCATAATAATATTAATAATAGGGTTTCCGATCGAGTTGTTTTATATAATTTTTTTCTTAGAGGACGACCGAGCACGAAGTTCTTAACTTTTTCTTTTAATTTGATTTGTCTTTATTTTAATGATGTTTGACTTCCATATGTTTCAAAGAGATTCCGTTGATTCCGTTGATTCCGTTGATTCCGTGAATTCGATGTGCCGCACTTTCAAATTCTTTACTTTGCAAAAAAAGTGTACTACTAGTAGTAGCTTCCAGGTTTATGAGGATTTCATAAGGTTGAATTCAGGATCTGAGAAAATAATACCGTTTTCTGGATACAAGAATCATTGAGCTGTGGCGCTGAAGGGATTTTGCAAGCAAATGAATGATAAAACATGTTTTGCCATCGAACATAAGCTAAGTGGTGTCAACCCGGGTATCGAGCTGGACTTACCAGCCTTCTTATTTTCACAAACTGCTCTAAAACAGCTAAAAACCACTCAGAAAGACGTTCAATACCATTAACAACAATTACACTGGAGCAAGGTATGTTCAAAACTTTTTTTTAAGAACTACATATTTCTTCGTCCCATACATTTACAGAATACAGTAAATGCTTTTATACACACCACAAAACTTTGCTTTGGCACTGCTTGTGCTTCGATTTCTTAAAATGGCCTCTTCACCTCATATGACTAATTTGCGTTACAATATGTGTGAAAACCATTATAATAAGGACACTAGAGAAAAACGTTTGCGCATGCGTGCACTTCAGCACGTTGAAGAGTTTGAGTGAGAGAATAAATATTCGTTTTCTCCAAGTATACAAAATGTTCGAGAGTATACTTTTGTCAGATCAAGATGAATTGTGAATATCGTTGATCAAAAAAAACTGTCACATTTGATTTACATATGTTTCACTAATCAATTTGATTGACTTATTACACTGAGTTAATGGCACACACATAAAGTCGCCTTTGCAGTATCCTAGGATCTAGAAGTTTTACTAGAGAAGCTACCTTTTATGGTAGCCTGCGTATCGTAGGGTTGGGGATTCGGAGAGGACTGGAAACGAGGGGGGAGGGAAAAGGGAGAAGTGAGGGCATACCGGACTCCCTTTTCTCTCCGCCCCCCCTCCTTTCCAGTCCCCCTCAGACTGACTTCGGAATTCCACAAGTATTTCACTCGTTTTCTCCTAAAATTCATTTTGGGATTCCCGCGTCAGCCAATGAATTTTACTATACAATTTCAATGCGTATTCAATTACGGTCGTCTTAGACTTGGGATCAGCTGTCTCTGGATCAAAGCGAGATGACGGAGTGCATTACAGCAAAGGTACTTGAAAAAAATTGTTAGAAAAGACCACAAATAAAGTCGATACTCCAGAACTTGACACTAAAAAGTGTTTTATTTTGTTTAATGATGGAAGCATTAGTTTACAATGTACGTTGCAATATAGATACAGATGTTTGTATTCATTTCAGACCTAAAATTGTGTCAGCCACAATTATATGATGACGTAGGCATGGTGATGACTTCGTGACGTCATCACATAATACATTGAAACTATTTGCGCATGCGTACTAATTATTCTTATGATTGGTGCGTTTATTACATCATAGCTGAAATTATTTGTCATTATTCTGGTTACTTCAGGCTGTTGTAATTGTACACTAAGAAATGTTTAACGTTATCTAAACAGCAGGGGTTATTTTTGACGGTAGGAATATATTAGGGATTGCGACATAAATTTAAAATGTTCTTCGAAAGATTAAAAGAATTCTTTTTAAAAACGCTTTCAATAAAACAACCGTTAAAGGCTTCGCAGAACCATTTGCAAAGCTTGAACAAACTAGAATGCCAGGCCACTGAAACAGATTGATGGARACTGGGCATCAAGACACACGTGAATGGTATAGTGATCGAGTCCTACTTCGTCACTGATTTCTTTCAGCGCCTGAATAATGTTGAATTGGAAATTCAAAACAAAATGCATTATGGGACTAAGCACGTGTTTCCACGCCTTATCACACAGAATCGTAGAACGAAAAGACGCCGCATTGTAATAAATAATTGAAGTATTTCATTTCGATACTAAATGTCTTGAGTAGTGAGAATCTGGGTAGCAGACCGGATATAATACACCAGTAATGACAACTGCTTATTGACCTCGTGCCAGTCTTTTACTGTCTTGGCCTCGTAGATGCTGTCTACAAGACCCGGGAAACTTAGCCCTGAATATTTATCAACGGCATTCGTCGCGTAGATCATGTGACTAAAACACGAAAAAGCAAAAGTTAAATTTGGCATTGATGATAACACGCATGCGTACTTTGCGCACAGGTTGGGAGTCAGAATTTTGTCCAGAGCCTGCATTCCTCGAGGAATGAACAGCAATCTTTTCATAAGTACATGCGCACACTCCTTAGTCGCGCTTCCTCAAATAAAAGACGCAGCATTGGTCGAATCTGATCGAGGTCGATCGTGACTTCTTGTCTGTCCTCGAATCATAAGAACAAGCATACCAGTCGAAATCCAGCGTCATTGCCATTGACATACATACCGCCTGAATGGTTTTCTTGGTATTCCTTGCGGGTTGATGAAAGACTTCTCAAAGTGCACCAAGCGATCATTAGCCATTCGAATAGTAACAGGCAATGCGCTGAAATACAACGAGATTGCCGATCAATTATTTTTTCGTTGACCATTTCAATGAAATTCAGCGGCAGGAAGTCGAAAGAAAACTAAGAAAATGGAAAAAGTGCGAGTAGAAATGAGAATTCTCGTTACTTACTTCTGATAGTTGAGAGATGACGAGAATCTATGGAACTCTTTTGCAGCAGCTGTGAGGTTCTTGACGGCATTGTCCAATTGGTCTTACATGAAACAGAAATGGAAATATCAGAAAAACGACAACTTAATTTATTTTATCAACATGTGAACAGATGCTCGTCATCAATTCAATAGTCTACCAACTTTTTTTTATTTATTTATTTAAACATATTGACTCTCTGTGTTACGGTGGCCCACAACTATCACGGCGAAAGCAAATAGGGCACGGCTAAAACGAATTCACCGCGGCTAAATAGAATTCACCGCGGCTAAATAGAATTCTTCACGGCGAAGTAGAATTCATTACGGCGAAGTAGAATTCTTCACGGCGAAAAGGAAAGCTTTCACGGCGAAAAGCGAAA